AAAAGACCGTTAAAGTGACCCTACTCCTATGAAACTGATACGCATGCTTACTTTACTAGTGGTGGGTTGGCAGGAAGCTTCATTTGTAGCACTAAGGAGCTGTCTTCTTCCCCTGTGTTAGTCAATCCTGCCTTGTCCTTCAATAGTCAACCCAGATTCCCCTTCCTATTTGAAAACTAGCAATCTCACACTCCCAGTCTTTTTGAGCACTTAACTGTTTCCATTTCCAGTTTGTACTTCTAATTGATTGAACTAATGGTACAAACTTGAACAAGTCACTGTTCCTCTCTAGTCCTGTTTCCTCATCTGTTTTGCCACTGATGCCAAGTGTTTAGTACAGTACCTGGCGTGTATACTGAAGTGAATGGTAGGACACAGTTCCTGCTCTCATAGTGTGTGTAGTCTAATGTGAGAAGAGACTTATGTAGAGTAAATAAATAAATAATCACAATTTGGGACATATGCCAGGAGAGATTGACTGGAACAAATGCACTGGTGGAGAGTAGTGAGGAGGGATGCATTTGAAGAACCTCGTTAAGTTATCAGAGTCCGAAGGATGAGAATAACTAGTCATGTGAATTAGAGGGGCTGAAGAGAACAGGATATGCAGAGGTACTGAGGTAGGAAATAATGTGTGAGGAACCAACAGAAAACTGTTGTGGCTAGAGACAGTGTATCAAGGACAGATAGGAATGTGAATAGATACATGAGGCAAAAATGGTAAGCTGGAAAATTGTCAGTTACTATAAGTGGTTCCCATCATTTCAAGTATCAGCCAAGAATTAGGCAGTGTGATGCTTCATATTAGATTAGTCCAGACTCCTGGAGCGTAGCTTTTAAATACACACCCCTTTCTTTCTCTTTTGCCCATAGGAAACAGAGGGGACCTACCCAGCCCTCTGCCGTGGCCTTAATGTTAAACGGCATTAGCTTACAGTATCTACAGGTGGAAATTACTAAGAGGGATAATTATTGCCCTCAAAACTTGCCTAACTGAGCTTTGTGCAACATATTTTGGGAGTTTACCAGCATGGTTTGTTTTGACACAGATGATGATCTATGTTGAGACTTGTCTCTGGATTGAAGACTTAGTGGCTTGGTGGGGCATGGAGACAACGCAGCTCTTCCTTTTCACTAGACGCTTTTATATGCTAGGTAGCTCATAACTTAGTGCGCTCTCCTCCTCTCCTTGCTAACAGATAGTTGTTTGCCTTTCGTTCTTCCTGTGTTCTACTGTCTGACTAATGTTCACACCCTGTGTTGATCATGTCTTTCCCCACTCTTCTTTGCCTATTTTATCAACTTAGGAACTGTATTTAAATAAGTCTCTAGCCACCTCCACCTTTTCTTTTAAAATTCAACCAGAGTACACTCAGATCATTTTTGCTGTCTTCTGGACCTAATCCTGCTTTCCTCAGGAACCCACCCCCCTTCAACCCAGGCTAGTTTTCTTGGCATGGAATAGTGGAAGAAGCCAAATGACTTTAAAACAGACCTAATTTGCCTAGGAGAATGCCAAGAACTTTTTCAAGGCTAATACCTTCTTTCTGCTAAGGGGATTCTTGTGCCTTCTCATTGTGCTCTAGGACTCTGGATCAGGGATTCAATGTGTAGGTCTTGACCAAAGAAAGCCAATTTGGTGCTCAACTGTGCTACAGTGAAAGGCATCTGATTTAGAGTCCCACTGATCTGGGTTTGAGTTATAGCATTCCTTCTCATCAGTTCTGTGAAATTAGGAGGTCATTTACCTTTCTGAGCCTTACTGTTCTTAATTTCAGGTGTCTGCACTGGTTTTCCTCTGTGCTAAAATGCTGGGGACTTGATGGAAGTTTGCTATCTTAGTAGACATTCCATTGGGGATTTTGGAGCAAGCAATTGCAACGGGCACCCTGGTTACTGTTTTCAACATTTTGAATTTTAGAACTGGTTGATAGAGTAGTAATAAGGAGGAAAAAAAAGTCTGGCAGAAATGAGGCTGGGAAGCAATGCTGCTTTGGAAAACTGTGCATGAAACTTGGAGAAAAGAAATCCATCCTGTAGAAAATTCCTTCTAGGGATGGGATTGTGGCTCAGTGACAGTGCTTGCCTTACATATGTGAGGCACTGGTTTCAATCCTTAGCACCACATAAAAATAAATAAACAAAATAAAGATATTGTGCCCCTGTATAAGTAAAAAATGTTTTTTTTTTTAAAGAAAATGTCTTCTAAGTCATAATGCTCTTGGATTTCTAGATTTCATGTCTTTAATGAATAGTACCTTACAGACATGTAGTTCTAGGATTCAGTGGAGGCATCTAATTTCCAAAAACCGGTCTCATTCAAAAAAATAGTGAACTGTGCCCAAAAGTACACTGTGAGTCATGATTTTGGTCTTCACCTCCTCCACCTCCTGACATTAACCTTCTTCATCCTCCCTACTTCCACGTGGCTGTGCACCTGGGAAAATAGAACATGCAGAGGGGATTTGATAAAGTCAGATCCATACCTCAAATCTTTGTTAAGAATTTTAGAGTGAGGCAGCCCCCAGCTCAAATGCCAGATTTCCTGCTCTCGTTGCCTCTCACAGGCAAGTTATTTTTACCTCTCAGAACCATTTCCTCGGCTCCAAATGAGATGATTGTTATGGCACCCCAAGAAGTACATACTTTGCAGTAGGAAATCCATGGCTATTTGTGTCCTGTCCCAGGAGTGCCAAATTTCCATTCTAAGGAAACACTTAATATTTTATCTAGTCTCTTTGTTTATTTTCCAATCTATCTTATACCAATATTTTAGTGACTGGTTATTACAATGCATAAGGAATAAATACAAAATCATTTTAAACACTCAGTGTCTTATACTCAGATTTATCACAATGTTAATAAAGAAGAATAACATCTAATTTGCTCAAATTGCACAAGTCAGTATATTTCAGGGGAAGTGTAGATATTCAAGTTACTGTAAGTAAAATAGACAAGACTCAGCAATTTTCCAGGTTGCAAGAACTCTTCACCTACTTCTTGGTCACGTGTTTATTTCTCAACCCCACCTGCATTCTAATAACACAGCTGTCATTACTTTGAAGTAGGGTTTCTGCTGGGACTCTAAGGGAACAAAGTTTTCTGTAATAGATGAAATGACATCATCTTCCCTGGGGGAGATGATTGCCATTCAGTTCACTCCTTCCTTTCCTCCCTCTCTCACTTACTCCCTCATTTACTCCCTCACTTACTTACTCCCTCTCTCATTCACTTCCTCTTTTTCTCCCCATCCCCACTTACTATGTGTTAATTAATAATCTGCATTACAACTGGCAGAATCATCTCAAATTAGAAAAACTTACAAGAGATGTCTCTCAGAAAGACTGTGCCAGGAGCAGCTGGGCTTCAGGAACAACAGGAACCAATAACCTGAATGCCATCATGATTTTATTTTCCTCCCTGTGCACTTCTAATTCACCCTGATCACTTTCTCTGCAGACTAGCTGTTGCATCCATTTGGTCTTGTGACAAAATGTTCCTAGTCCAGTAATTTGGGAAAGGGACATAGTGATGTAGATTGGATCCTCTGCCCATGCCGGATCAGTCAGCTGTGGCCAAGAAGGTGTGATTATACAAAGATATAGTGGTTCCTTCAGGACTTACATGGATGGAGTAGGGAGGGAAGCACAAAAGAGAGATGCTTAACACTGAGTTCCAGAAACATCCACATTCCCATCCTGCCATGCTAGTGGGCTTTATTGGCAATATGTTAAAAAAAAAAAAAAAAAGGTCCCCAGACTGAGCTTGCATGCATCCAAGTGGTGGAAGATGGATGTGCAACCAAACAAGTGATAGATGATGTTGGTTTTATACTAGTGGAAGTTCAGCTGAGATGGGAGTGAAGAATAAATAGGTGAGCAGTTAGGCTAGGTCCGATGCAACTCGAATGTGCCAACAGTGCAAAGGAAGAATGAAGGATACTTTACATTTTTTGAGTTTCAGCAGCTTGTTATGTTTTAGAAAATTCAAATGATCTAAATCTTAATTTCTTTGCATAGCTGTCTAAACTGACTTAATTTAAAAGACTTCTAGCCAGACCAGTTCATTAATATGCTCTATGGCTCTGGTGGCCTGGCACTGAACTGCATTTCTGAAACACAGATTCCTTGGTTATAAGAAATATAAGACATGTTTGTTCCTTGCTGAGGAGCTTTGCCATAGTCCCACAGTTGCTGTCAGGATGGCCTGCAGCACACCTGTAGGAGCCTCGTGTTTGTCATCCTTCATTGTGCTCTTTTTCAGACAGCATACTGGTTCTTCTTCCATCTCCTGTTGCACTGGGTGGGCTTTCTGCCTTGGGATGAGCACATTTTGCTCCAGTCTCACCGTTCTGGGTCTTGCCTTTTACCAGGGCTTCTCATTGTTCTTCATCTTTTCTATCCTTGCTTGCCTAACATTTTTGAAAATTGTAATTTATATTTTGAAACAAAGTTTCACAGGATTGTGACAATTAATGAGAGATACCTAGTACACTTTATCAAGTGTTTCCCTGTAGTGACATCATCTTGCAAAACTTTTGTACAGTATCACAGCTGGGCTGTTAATGTTGATATAGTCCAGATATGGAACAGTTGCTATAATGTTTAGAGCTGTAGTTTCCCTTTTGTTATTTTTTGACTCACTCATCTCTTAGATGCTTTCGTCTGTGCTCTTATTCATTGACCCAGGGATTAAGGTGAGTCAAGGGTCCTAATAGGTTTCACCTCTGTTTGATAAGACTATTTTCATGTTGTCAAGAGTTTCTAGCAATGATGATTTTTTTGTTCATCTTGAAATAACTTGCCTGGAGTAAATACCATTTGGTTGGTATTTTAAGGCTTAAGATAGCCTTAAAATTCAAGAGAATATCTGGCCTGCTGTGAGCTCTGCTGGCCTTAATTTCAGGCAGGTCACATGAAGGTGAAGTGTATGGGGGCTGTGATGGTACTAATTCCTTGAGATGTGGGCCCCCTAATCAAAGGTTTTTTTCCCCCCAAAAGGACAGTTCTGCACAGAGGATGTGGATGAGTGCCTGCTGCAACCCAATGCCTGTCAGAATGGAGGCACCTGCACCAACCGCAATGGGGGGTATGGCTGTGTGTGTGTGAATGGTTGGAGTGGAGATGACTGTAGCGAAAACATCGACGATTGTGCCTTCGCCTCCTGCACTCCAGGCTCCACCTGCATTGACCGTGTGGCCTCCTTTGCTTGCATGTGCCCAGAGGGAAAGGCAGGTAAGGCCAATGGAAGGACAGAGCTGGAGAGTGGGGGGTGGGGGCAGTGAGCATTCAGGGCTTCTGCTGTATCTTTTGTCTGGCAGCTGTGCTCCATGAATTACCATCTGTAGGAACATACCACTCAGGACTGTTTTTCAGGAAATGTTATCTGCTAGCCAAAGATCTGGGAAGTTAGTCTCCTTCTTAGGACTTCTACTTCTAATCTTCACCTGTGCTTTGGTTTGTTATCCTAGAAAATGAAAGCTAGGCTAGATGCAGTGGTGTACTCCTGTCATCCCAGCAGCCCTGGAGGCTGAGGCAGGAGGATTCCAACTTCAAATCAGCCTCAGCACCTTTGCCCTAAGCAGCTTAATGAGACCCTGACTCAAAATAAAAAATAAAAAGGGCTGGGAATGTGGCCCAGTAGTAAAGTACCCCTTGGTTCAATTCCTGTTACTAAGAAAAAAGAAAGAAAATGAAGGACAGTAACTGTGGTCTTTGGAGCATCTGCAGAACTCCTTAAGATCTTAGACTGAAAAGTACTTCAGAAACTCCTACTAGATGATGAATAAATGAAGTCACAGGCTTGATTTTAAGAAGAAATAGTCCACTTACTAAGAAGGAATTAGCAGGAGAGACAGGAGGAGAAGTGCATTTCGATCCTCAATGTCTATGGAAATATTCCTCTAAAGGAGAGTTTCTTCATACTACAAAGTTAACCTTTCTCTTTCTGTGTAATAGCTTCTACTTCTAGAAGTATGACAGCAACATGGGGGTGGATGTGATGGAAAAAAGATGGTTTAGCCAAGATAACTTTTTACCCAGCAGTTTTGAAATGTGGTTATATTTCTTCTGCCTTTCCAAAAGCCACACCTTCAGCTTTGAGGAATAAGCCTTAGTAAATAACAGACTGGAAAACTTAGTTCCCACTTGAACTCTGTGGAACAGGAAGCCTAGAATGTCCTCAGAAGCCTGAAGGCATCTGAGCCAAATGTCAATGCCATTAAACTGCCATTCTAGTAGAGGAGGATGACATCGGTTCCTGTTTTCTTTTGAGACTGGAGAGATGCATATGAGCCCATGACCATCAGATAGAGTGACACTGGAGAAGGAAGATGTCAGATAAAACAGGATGCATGCAGTATTTGAATTTTATTTTAAAAATTTGTTAATCAGAAGTTCAGTTTAACTCTGCATCTTCTATTTTATTTGCCAAATCTGACAATCCAGAGACTGTCTCCGTGTTCTGGAGTTACTCTTCTAATTTCTGGCTTATATGCATCTCTGCACTGGAAGAGATATCTAGTTGAGGGCTCAGGGTTGGAACATGGGCTTGTCTGAAGCAGCTAGCTGCTTTGCTGATGCTGCAGTGTGTCCCTGGATAGGACCAGGTGAAGGGGACATTGACTCTAAATCTTTATGTTGGATTGTGAGGAACCTGGTGAAAGAGAAAGTTCTTCTCCAAATGAGAGATGTTCTCTCTCCACACTTGCCCCCCCTCTGGCAGGTCTCTTATGTCATCTGGATGATGCCTGCATCAGCAATCCTTGCCACAAGGGGGCGTTGTGTGACACCAACCCCCTGAATGGGCAGTACATCTGCACCTGCCCACAGGGCTACAAAGGGGCGGACTGCACAGAAGATGTGGATGAGTGTGCCATGGGTGAGTACACAACCTTTCTCTGCTTCCAGTGGGTGTCAGATCAGCAAGTATTTCATCGGGAGCTCATATTACTCCAGGAGCATGTTACATCCCAAATCTCAGATCTCTCCTATTAGGTATCCCTGTTTGCAATTAACTCTTCAGCCTAACCATACATTCCATTCTGGGAACTAAATATATGCAAGGTCTATACTTGATTTTTCTTATAAAGCCTTCCTCAGTGGCAGTTTGGACTATAGAATACAGGCCGGCACGGTGGTGCATGCCTGTAATCTCAATGGCTTGGGGGGCTAAGGCAGGAGGATGGATTGTGAGTTCAAAGCCACCTTCAGCAAAAGTGAGTCATTAAGTAACTCAGTGAGACCCTGTCTCTAAATAAAATACAAAATGGGGCTGGAGATATGGCTCAGTGATCAAGTGCCCCTGAGTTCAGTCCCTGGTACCCATGCTCCCCCAAAAAAAGAGAATACAGAAAGGCACGAGAGTAAAGATTGCCTATTCCTTTTTTATTTTTATTTTTTCTTTGTAAGTTATGTAAGACATGAGAAGGTAGAAATCTTAGGAAATACATCGTCAGATGCTCTTCCGTAGTCTGCATTTGTGGAACTCTGGCCTGTGCTTGGGTCCTGATAATTGGTGCTTGTGTCCTGATAATTGGTGCTTGTATCTTGCAGCCAACAGCAATCCTTGTGAGCATGCCGGCAGGTGTGTGAACACAGATGGCAGCTTCCACTGCGAGTGTCTCAAGGGCTATGGGGGACCTCGATGTGAGATGGACATCAATGAGTGTCATTCAGACCCCTGCCAGAATGATGCCACCTGCCTGGATAAGATTGGAGGCTTCACTTGCCTGTGCATGCCAGGTAAATGTTTGCCTTCATGCTGGGGTGTGAGATGAGAGGTGGCACTGCACTTGTCCTAGGGAGCACTCAGGAACCAGGGGGAGTCCATGCACTGTATTAGCATTTTATTCCCTGACTGGTCACTTTAGGATGTCTGGGCTCCCAGGCATCTTTCTTTCTTTCTACAGAGAAGCGTGCAAGATGGGAATTGGCAGAGCAGTGTCGACCAAATTGACCAAGCTCTTTATGTCAAAGCCGGATGCATACCACAGAACATATCAGAGGCGATATACTATAAGACTTTTTTAAAAATAGCTAACTTTCCTGATCCTCCAATGTATTGCATAATACGTCCCATTCCATTAATGGAACTGGATCTTACCTGCAGCATATGCTTAGTGGTGCCCTGGAGCTCTTCTGCAGAAATAGTTCTTGAATCCTCAGAGGCCCAACTAACACTAGTGAAGTGACAGCTGAGGTGGCTGCTCTGGCTGATGAAGGATGCCAGCTGCTGACTTTGACTTATACCTTGACTATAGTAGCAGCCCACTCGGGTGACATTTGGGAACTCAGGGGAGGGACACTTTGTGTCTGGCACTGTCTGGAATGTGTGCATTGACACAGAAAGCACTGTAGAGTCTGTTTGCATATTAGGTCTCACCAGTGTCTTATGAGGTAGCCCCTGTCACCTCTTCACAGTGACAAAGGTCTTTCACATTATCCATTAACCTAATTACAGGGACTATTTCTTGACATGGCAGAGTCCCTTAGGCTTGGCAGTAATATCTATGCTCATAGAAGTAGTAGCAATCTCTGCACACTGTGTTTTCTTGGCTGGAGTCCACCTCTGTGTCTTTCTGAGCCATATGTGGTCTGTTTTGTGCAGGCTTCAAAGGTGTGCATTGTGAACTAGAGATCAATGAATGTCAGAGCAACCCTTGTGTGAACAATGGGCAGTGTGTGGACAAAGTCAACCGCTTCCAGTGTCTCTGTCCCCCTGGTAAGTGCCCACCACCTGGCCCTGTTTCCTTCTGAAGTACAAAGCCTACTGACCATGGGAAGGGAGGGAGCATATGTGTGGGCTATGCATGAGGAAATCATTAAAATGAAGACTTGGTGAGAGGAATGTGTGGAGGGATGGGGAATTGCTTTAGCTAGCCTATCTTCCAAGTCGTTTGTGGATGGAGGTCCAAGTCTGTTCTGGAATGGTCCATGACCTCTGTCTATGTGTATATTTCAGAGCTCTCACTCCCACAGAAGCCACGGTTGTAGGCTGTTCAGGATTCCTTTTTCCCCCTATGGATCATACTCTCGAAGCCCCTCTGTGAGGTTTTATTGTTTTGAGATTTTTTTCACCCCACAAATCCAAACAGACAACATGCATCCAGTTTCTTCTGCAAGAGCCTCTGTCTGTTATTTCCCTTCATGCTTATGTTGAAGACATGCCGTTGTCTCCCAGCAACTGTGGCCTGCCCACTTTGTCTCCAGAGAGAGGGTCCCTTTGCCTCTGAAGATCTGGGTGCTCATTTGAGGGCTCTATGTAGCATTTCATTTTCTCTTGCTCCCTCTAGAGCTGACATCACTCTAAAGGAGCAGTGGTGGAGACAAGAGGGCTTCCTGACCCTGAGTTTCTCCCAGGTATCCTGGTCACCTGCTAGGGAGAACCACTGTGTAGGGAGAATCACTTGCTAGGGAGGTCACTGTGTTGACCCACAACATGGGCTCTAGTGGTAACCTAACCCACCTCCATGGGCATCATCCATTCAACAAGTAAGAAAGACACAGGATAGACTTTGACTTGGTCATTATTTTGCCTCCTCAAGGTTTCACGGGGCCGGTATGCCAGATTGACATTGATGACTGTTCCAGTACTCCGTGTCTGAATGGGGCCAAGTGTATTGATCACCCAAATGGTTACGAATGCCAGTGTGCTACTGGTAAGTGCCTGCTTACTTGTCATCCCCCAGGAGTTTCCTCTGCACAAGATGGCAACAGTCCTCTGATAGCTTCTCTGTGTTAGAGACAGAGGGGCCTCTGCTCTAACACTCAGGGGCTGCCCTGTGTTAGAGCTGCTGATAGCAGACTTTCTGATGTTCTCATGGTTCCCTCCTATACCCTTTGTTCTTCCATCATGGTAGTGGTCTGGCCTGGATATTCCACTTATGTCCATGTCTTTTTGGCACATGGAGAGCAGTGAGCTTCCAGCTGGCTTGACTGACTCATTTGGGAAAGTAGGATTCCCATGGAAAACTGTTCCACTGGGGACTTCTCTATAGTTGCCCTTTTTGTCTCTTGAGGCCAGTGACCTGAAAAGGCTTAGGAGTCTACAGGCTGAGTGTGTGCAGGTGTGGAGGCTCAGACACAGTGGCTCTTAGGTATGTAGCAGCCAACAGGCAAGAGCTCTGGCTAGGAAGTTAGGGTTTCCTTGCTGACTTCTGGTATTAGAATCCAAAGGATCTATTCACAGAGATGAACAGATCTGTGAACCTATCGCCCTGTTTTTACTTTGGAGAATATTTTATTAAGTCAAATGCCCCTTTTACATGTTTCCTTCTTTGTAGATAAGTAATGTCTAGAAAGCCTAAACATTATTAGAAAAGATGATATCCTTTATTATCTGACTGCTTGAGGAAAAAAGTTAAAAATATAATTCAAGACAGTTATAAATATAATTCAAATTTATTTAGAAGAATTTGTAAAGAGTTGTAGGCATTGAACGAATGATTTCTTTCTGATTGTAGAAAAGCAAACAGTCACAAAGTCACACAAAGTGCTACTGTTTTTATATTAGACCTCCTTGGTGAGGTCAACTCCAATGAGCCACTGAACTTTAAAAAATAATCTATTGTCCTTCATTGGAGAAACTCCAGTGTTTGTCCTCTTGTCACACCTAAGCTCACTGGAGAGGCTAAAAATCACCTTTTGGGGGGAAGGTGGGGGTTACCCAGGGGCACTTAACCGCTGAGCCATACCTCCAGCCCTTTTTGTTTTTTATTTTGAGAGACGGTTTCACTAAGTTGCTTAGGGCCTTGCTAAGTTGCTGAGGCTGGATTTGAACTTAATGATCCTCCTGCCTCAGTCTCCTAAGCCATTGGGATTACAGGTGTGCACACCACACCCAGCTTGGATTCACTTTTTTAAAGGAGGATAGGCCTCCTAGAGTCTGTTGGGAAGGAGAAGAATGTGGGCATATCTAAATCTTGAAAGGAGGAACACCCTTTTTCACTTAAACGTTCATAACTGTTACACTCACTTGTTTTGTTCAACAGGTATTTATTGAAAATCTCGTGTATATGCTTAATGCTTTGGAAGGGGTGAAGCAGAATAAAGTTCTCTGTCCTCCAAAGTCAGAAAGTCAGAATTGGGAACACTAGGTTCATGAAACCATTATTCAGTACATATGTTTTGGGTTTGGGAGAAAAAGAAATCAGATATTAAAAAAAAAAAAAGTCAAGAGCAGCTTCCCCTGAAACCCAGTAAGTCAGGAGGCTGAGGTTAAAGCCTTTGTGCTGTGAAATTAGTTATCAGTCTCAAAGGTGCATTAGTCCTGCCAATATGATGTTCTTTATTTTGAGCACAGCTCCCCAGGCTCGCTTTCTAAATCAAAACAAACAACCAGTTCCCACTGCTCAAAACCAGCAGTAATATTCATTCAGATGTGGAATGTGTAGGGTACATAGATTAATTGCTCTTGGGTTCAGGTGTGTGGTATCTGGCTTTGAAGATTCCTTGGTAAAATTCCTTCCCAAGGTTTCACTGGTGTGTTATGTGAGGAGAACATCGACAACTGTGACCCTGATCCTTGCCACCATGGCCAGTGCCAGGATGGGATTGATTCCTACACTTGCATCTGCAACCCCGGGTACATGGGTGCCATCTGCAGTGACCAAATTGATGAATGTTATAGCAGCCCTTGCTTGAATGATGGGCGTTGCATTGACCTAGTGAATGGCTACCAGTGCAACTGCCAGCCGGGCACATCAGGTAAGCCTGCTCTGGTTATGTTGGGTTGGGGTTTTTCATTTCTTAAACACAATTTACACAGACCTCTCCAATTTTTTGACATTTGCACAGATACCTAAAAAATATTTCTGATTCTGAGAGGCCAGCCAAAGCCACAAGCATAAATATAAATGGTTCTACTTTGGGGAGAAGTTAGAGACAATAATTGTGCCATTCCAGTGTGTGTGTGTGTGTGTGTGTGTGTGTGTGTGTGTGTGTGTGTGTGTTTCTGTGTGGTGTGTGTTTCATTTAATGGAGGCATATCACTTCAAAATATAAGATTATTTTTAGAATTGAAATGTGTCTTATTGAAATGTGGGTTGATGAATTTTCTTTAAGTCGCTTTTATTGAGAATTGCCTGCGTTCTTTCCATCCCTCACTCCTTCCTTCCTTCCATTCACCTTTTTTTTTTCTTTCATGTTCAGTCTCTTTAATTTTGATGGTTTTCTTTTGCTGCTTATATCTACTGGGTCTTCAGGCATTGGGGAGACTCTAAAGGAGAGGACACACTTTGTTACACAGAAATTGTGAAGAATGGATAGACACTGCTATCTGTCCTTAGAGTCCAGTGCTATTCCCTGACTGTGGTGGAAGGCTACATGGTAGGGGGAGAATCTGCTGCTCCTTCTGTATGGAATTTGGAGTTGTTTTCTCCGAGAGAACATCTCACAGGTTTCACTGGCTTCTGTTTTACATATTATAGGAATAAGTATGGACACAACTGTGATTAATAGAGGGAGTACTATGTCCCAGGTCAAAGGAAAATGTATTAGTGGAAGATTAACCAGTGTGTGCCTTTGCTAGAAGAAAAATTGCCAATATCAGGAGAAATTTATTGAGAAATCATCCTGGACTTAAGGAAAATGGTCTATGTGGGTGGCAGAGGTAGGGGACATGGTTAGCTGTCTTCATTTTATAGTGTTATTTCCAAATCTATTTCTTCAAACTTGTAAAAGGCCCTGGTCTTCATCCAGGCCCTCACACATGCCAAGTTTGAAAACAAAGTCCTTTTTGACTTGCCCGAGCATAAGAAACACATCTCATTCCTTCAGAGCTGAGAAGGCCTGCCCCTCCCCACATTTAGATAAGTCCCTTAAAGGGCTTGTAGATCTTTGTAAAACCTTCCAAAAGCACTTTGCTTCAGGGCTGGTCTCCAACATGAGAATTGCTGTATGAAAAGAAATTTGAGAGGTTTACCAGTACTTTCATGGCCATTAGAATGGAGGTGCTACTGTGGGCCTTGCTGTCATTCTGGTTATAACAGCCATGCTGGGAATCTGGATGAGAGGTGGGTTGATGAGCGCTTTGTTTCCTGTGGGATTACATCATTATGCCAGAAGGCATCAGGTGTGTTTTCTAGGGAGGGCATGGTATAAGTAGCTGTCACTAAGAGGCAAGGGGTATATATGAATGTTCTGTAGCATGGAGAGGGAAGCGAGGAAGGTCTCAGGGCCCTGCCAAATCCATTCCTGCAGCTGTTAAAAAAATTCATGCAAAGAACTGCCAGCAAAGTAAAGAAATGTTGGTCTCCATACTGTTTTCCATATTGGCTTCACTAATTTGCAGTCCCTTCAGCAATATATGAGTGTGCTTTTTCTCCCACATCCTCTACAACACTTATTTTTCTTTTTCTTCATAATAACTGCCATTCTGACTGGTATCTTAGAGTCGTTTTGATTTGCATTTCTCTACTTGCTAGAGATGATGAACATTTTTTCATATATTTGTTGATTGATTGTATATCCTCTTCTGAGAAGTGTCTGTTCATGTCCTTGGCCCATTTATTGTTTGGGTTATTTGTTTTTTTTGGTGTTTATCATTTTGAGTTATTTATATACCCTATAGATTAGTGCACTATCTGATGTGTGAGGGGCAAAAATTTGCTCCCAAGATGTAGGCTTTCTGTTCACCTCACAGATTGTTTCTTTTGCTGAGAAGAAACTTTTTAGTTTGAGTCCATCCCATTTATTGATTCTTGGTTTTAATACTTGTGCTGTAGGAGTCTTATTAAGGAAGTTGGGGCCTAATCCCACATGATGAAGATTAGGGCTTTGACCCAGCTATCCCTCTCCTCTGTCTATACCCAAAGGATTTAAAAACAGCATACTACAGGGACACAGCCACATCAATGTTTATAGCAACACAGTTATGATAGCTAAACTGTGGAATCAACCTGGATGCCCTTCAGTAGATGAACGGATTAAAAAAAATGTGGCATATATACACAATGAAATATTACTCAGCAATAAAAGAGAATAAAATCATGGCATTTGCGGGTAAATGGATGCAGTTGGAGGAGATAATGCTAAGTGAAGTTAGCCAATCCCCCCACCCCCCAAAAAAGGCGGATGTTTTCTCTGATATAAGGTGACTGGCTCATAGTGGGGTAGGAAGAGGGAGCATGGGAGGGATAGACAAACTCTAGATAGGTGGGAGGTGAAGGGAGGGGGCAGGGAGTTAGCAATGATGGTGGCATGTGATGGACATCATTTTCCAAAGTACATGTATGAAGACATGAATTGGTATGAACATACTTCATATGCAATCAGAGATATGAAAAATTGTGTTCTATATGTGTAATAAGAATTGTGATGCATTCTGCTGTCATGTATTTAAAAAATAAAAGCAATTAAAAAAAAAAGAAATGTTGGTCTGTAGTGGGTGGAGAAAGAACTGATATGTGTCAGGGGCCTGCTTGGAACATCCATTAATTGAGGCATTATGAATAGAGTTAGAGTTAGAATCCCAATCCATTTATTGAATGTTCTGTGTTGGTGGTTTAGCACTTGGATGGAGTCTGGATGGAAGTGATGTGTTACAACTTGCTAACTGCAGTTGCAGTAGTCACCTGCTGGGTCATTAAAGGGAGAGAGACTACTCAGAGTATCAGTGCCTTCTCTTATCTATGCTATTATGATGATAAAACTGTTTTGAGTAATTAGTTTCTATGGATTTCAGGAAACAAAACTCAACTTGAGCTAGCTTAAAGAACCATGAACAAACAACAAAATAGACAATTTTAGTGAAGGCTCGCAGAAGTCTCTTATGTAGATTCTAAGCAAGAATGGAATTATTGGGCTGTCAGGAAAATAGTACAAAGCAAGGCATTTTGTAGCTCAGTGTTCAAATAGGTCACATTTCTACATAGGAGCTCATTAGCCCGACCTGATACAGATGTCAGTTCCTCCTCAAGTAAATTATGGCCCTGGAGCTAGAGCTACATTGGATTTAAAGGCTTCATGGGGCTGCCTTCATGGATTGAGGACAAAGATGGGTTGTCAGTCAAGGGCTAGACATGGGTTATACATCTGCTACGTGTGTAACTTTTACATGGGAATATGGGACTCCTTTTCTCATTTATGGCTAGTGCGGCATGAGAGCCTCTTTAACACAGAAAGACAGCGTGGCTTGCTGGAAAGAACACAGAACTGTGAACAAGAAGACAAGGCCTCACTGAAGCTGGGCAAGTCAGCAGTGCCATTTGTAAAATGGTGTAACACAGCTGGGTTTAAGCTTGGCTGAGAGAATTAGCAAAAAAAATCACAAAACTGCAAGGTCAGCGGCTTTGCACACAATGGCCCAATAAATTTTTAATACCATAGTAATTACTAATAAAAAAATAAAATTTGTGAATGAATTAATCATGACATTTTGTTCTAGAAATTGTTTATTTATATTCTTATTGTGTTTTTATTGTTAGACTGTTTTTACTACCCATATATTCTTCCATGATAACTTAGGAAACATCATTAAATCCATTTTAAATAAATAGTGAGAAATCATGAGTTAAATTACTTTATCAGTACAATACCATGGTAACACTAATGATTGATATAGCCTTACTCTTTCGTTATCCATATCTACAACCAAGCCTGTGTCAGCACAGCTAGACCCTTCTGTTCATCTGTGGAACAGAACAGAATAAGACAGTGCAACACTAAAGGCAATTCCATATTTGTTTAAAGATCATCCTGAGCTTTAGCTTTTAGCACTGATCGTCAGTGTCAAGCTTAAGGTGATGGATCCAAGTTCTAAATTCTAATTTTGATTGTAAAGCCCAAATTTAGTTTCAGCATTAAGTACTATCAGTTGTTTCCCTCAAAATGACAGGTTTCTTTCTTTCACTTAATATTTGCTAAACACTCAAGTCTGATGAACTTTGGCTTATCTGTCAGTTGTTCTTCCAACTACATGGGGTTTCATACAGAAGGCAGCTATTTTAGCTCACAACTTGAACAGTTGCGTGACTGCTTCTCCTGATATGATGTTCACACCTGTATGCACAGAAATTCTTCTGTGCTTCCCCTTTCATCACACATAACAGGGGAGGTACATTTGAGGTTCAAGATTTAATGAAGTTACGATGTTTATAGTTTTAACCTCTTTGCCAAAGCCATTCTTAGGTGAACTGTCTCTTGTGTTTATTTAACTGTGGGCAGCATGGATGTGAAGATACAGTAACTACTAGCACAATTTAGTTCCACTGCCTGATTCCCACCACATGCCAATAGTTTTATCCCCATTGCCTTTGCAAACATCAGTGTGAATGTCAACACAGAAAAAAAAAAGCAAGTAATAGCTTTGTTTGAGTAATAAAATCCTTCTGATTTCAAGGTTCTCCTGAAAGAGTCTGTGGACTATACTTTGAGAAGTGCTGCTGTGTTCTGTCCAGGGCTACCTGGATTACATTTAGACTTCTTACTCCACAGAATCACAAACAAAAGCTGGGTTATGTCTGTGGTAATGTGGAATGATTTCTCTTTGATTCTCCTTTTAGGGATTAATTGTGAAATCAATTTTGATGACTGTGCTAGCAACCCTTGTGTCCATGGTGCTTGTATGGATGGCATCAATCGTTACAGTTGTGTCTGCTTGCCAGGATTCACAGGTAATGCTTCATGCACTTCAGCCCATCACTTTGGGAAAATGGGACATCTGAGGGAAAATCACTTTTCAAATGTCTCTTCTTTCTTGGTGTCTCTGGAAGGTTTGAAATCTGCTTCTGTGCTTCTCTGATCCAGTTTTCTGCTCATAAATCTTCCTTAAACTGAAACATGCCATATTTCATTTATTAGATTTTACCATCATTGTGCTTGAGTTAAGTTACCTCCAAAGCCAACTTTATTTTCCTGCAAGCAGTAGTTGGTACCTTCTGTAAATCCATATGTGAGGTAAACTTGCAAAACAGCACTTTTTGTCTCATGTCCTTCCTCTTTTGGGGAGACTATTTAATAAAATTGTAACTTGAGGGGACCACCTTAATTTGCCTGCATGAGCAAGATCTTTCTGTGCAGGAGGAAGAAAATAAATGGCTAAAATAGCTTAGCAAGTCATTCCTACTGAAGTACAAATAGCTAGAACATTAGCACATGCAAACCTGTGCACACGGGCACATCCATGCATCTCTCTCCTCTTTCCTTGTTAATATTACCTTTCCTTTTACCTTCCTGTAAAAAATTCCTGAGGCTACTGAGGAAACCTAGCCCCTCACTGACATCTAAGCTGCTAAAGGCACCATGAGAGGGATTCACAATGTATTCTATTCTTTCCTGTCAGTGCCACAGACAAGTAGGCCCTAATGTAATACCCTTTAATAATGACCATGTGGTCATTTGCACTCCAGGTGAGAGACTCCTTATGAGCTTTTGGCAGAGGCAGCAGGAGCCAAATGAAGAATGTCTGCCATTGCCATGTGTTCTCTAGTTCACAAGCACTTTTCCAGTTTGTATGACTGTTGTTGCTAGACAGGAATGTTTGTGGCTCCAGTGATTCCTGTTCATTGGAAGTCAATGAGAAGCCAAGTATGATGAAAGCTTTCAAGCCAAGACCATGCAGTAGTGTGGTGGCCTGATGGACTTGTGCATCCTGAAAACTGTCACTCCAGTATTAGGTGGCAGCCAACAGAATGCATGGAAATTCCTGCTATTAGGATAATAGGTGCACTGTTGTTAAATGGGTAATATGAAGAAAATAGCTAGCACATATTTTGAGCTATGCATCAAATTAAGTGCCAAGTCACAATTATCACAGCTGTTTTGTTCCTCTGGTATTGATGAGAAATCCAGAGCTTAGAGAGGTGAAGTGATATTATCGGTGTACTAGGATTTTACCCCAGACATCTGATCCCAGAGCCCTGGTTAATTTGTGGATTTATATAAGACTTATTTAGTTTTCTCAAATGTCAGTGCATCATATTCTTTCTCTTTTTAACATTCAGCGACCCAGCAAGGTCAAGGAGGGAGGGCGCATAGGGCTAAAAATATTCTAAATAAACTTAAGGTGAAGTATGAAACTGCATAACCAAGAAATGGAATGTTTTGATTACTGGGCGGTACCCTGTTCTTGGAACTGTTTTCTGTGTCTGACATTTTTTTTTTAAAATCAGTCACTGAAAATATCTAAGATGACTGTGGTATATACTCACGAGTGGTAAATGAAAAGTGTTTTATTCTTTCCCCTGTTTTAATTTAATACATTCCCCCTATTATTTTAATAACAGCTTTAAAAGACTTAAGGGATGGTTTTGTTTTTGTTTTTTCTTTCTGTAAGACTAGGTTCTCTGTTCTATTCAAAAAGGATTTCTTGAAACTTTTTGAATAAATGGTAGAAAGAAAGGAATCATGTGATAATCCTGTGAACTACTTTTCAGTTTTACATAGCACCACATTCGTTATCTTGAATTCTCCAATAGTCCAGAAAGGAAGTTCTGCCATCCTCATTTAATAAATAAGGCAGCTGAGAGACAGAGCTTGATATGCCCATATCCTTAGCTAGTGAGTTGCAGAGAGGGCTGTGAATTCTCAGAAGGCAGGAACTTCCCTTTATTATCCTTCTAGCAATATCTAGCACAGAAGAATACTCAATAAATGTTGCTGGATGAATGAGTTGAGTGAATTGTACTCAAAATAAAGCACTTCTCTTATTCAACCCAGACCCTAATGCCTGGACTAAACACCAGTTCACTGAGAATTCATCAAGTACCTACCAAGTAGGAAAGACAGGGTAACTTCTCATTTCAATAATTGCTGAGCCTGGGGCTAGAGTTGTGGCTCAGTGGTAGAGGGCTTGCCTAACACATGTGAGGCACTGGTTTTGATCCTTGGCACTACATAAAAACAAATAAATAAAACAAAGATATTGTGTCCAACTACAACTAAAAAAAAGATATATAATCTTTGTTTTATTTATTTGTTTTTATGTGGTGCCGAGGATCAAACCCAGCACCTCACAGGCAAGCCCTCTACCACTAAGCCACAACCCCAGCCCCTAAAAAAATATATTTAAAAAAAATTGCTGAGCCCCACAACAGACATGATTCGCATTGAGCATTTTTGGTGCTCTGTGGATATTCCACGAAGGCATGACCTTTCTGGTGGAGCCACTGCTGAAGACTGCACAAGCCACTTAAAACTCTCATAAAAAGATTGCTTGAAAATTTGTTCTGGGAAGAATTTTAAAGCAAATGAAGGGCTGGGGATGTAGTTCAGTGGTAGAATATTTGCCCAGCATGTACAAGGCCCCAAGTTTGATGACCAGCACTGCAAAGAACAAAGAGAGGGAAAGGAACGGGAGGGCAGAGGAGAGGAGAGACTCAAGAGGCTGAGGTGGAGGGATTGCTTGAGCCCAAGATTTGAACACTAGCCTGGATTGCATAGTGAGACACCATCTCTCAACAAAATAAAACAAAGCCAAAAAAAAAAAAAAAACCAAAACAAACAAACAAAAATGAATGAAGAAAACTTGAGAAATCTGTGGAGATGCTTCCCAAAAAGGACCACAAGTGAAAAGGCTGTTTCCTTTCATACTCTACTGGATTGCAAGCCATGGACAGCCTAGCAGTTGAAGAGCTGTGGTTCATATTTTGGTGCCATTGGGAAACATCTAAAAGAATCAGTGGCCAAGGCCAAGGAAATAGCATTTTAAAACAAGTTATTAATAAAACACTTAGAGAAAAATAGCATCCACTTCCAGATTATGGGTCTTCACCACAAGAACCACCAATAATGGTTTAGAGAGCAACAGAGAGTGAAAAAATGTTAATACCCATACTTTAAAGGGTGTGTGTCTATTTCATTTGGAATTTCCTGTTCTAAATGCAGGGTTGCTCTTTCTTACATTTTTTAAAAAAAAATGTGTATTTTTTATCTGAGTCAGAAAATTGTATTCTTGGTAATTCATATGTTCCTTCATGGCAGTTGCTTGATTCCATTTATTTACAGAATTATGGGCAATTTAAAAATTTCACATCATTTTAGAATATGTAGTCAAATATCAATTATTATAAATTTAACAAATAAAAACAGTTGTATTACTGGCCCATTGTCACATTATTCACCCAAATGACAGTGAAGAACTAGGCTATTGCAGACTTCTTTTCAAAGTTCAATCTTGGGTATGGCTTGGAAGAAGAACACACTCACTTCAGTTTCACGTACTCCCAGCATCTATCAACATTGTTAAAGAATGAAAAGTATAATTGTTTAGTGCAGAATTTCTTAACCTAATGTTTGAACCACCCGCATGTTTTAAAATGTGGCTGTTGGGCCCCACCCATCACAATCTGTGCAGTAGGGCCTAAGGATCTCATTTTGAGCAAGAACTTTAAGTGGCTATTTTGCACATTAAAGTTTGAGAACCATTATTTAGACTGAGAGATAATGGTGTTTTCTTAGTTTTTAGGGAGCCGTAAAATTATGTTTAGAAACTCTACTTTCTGAGGCAGAAAATGGAGTAAATGATACTCTTAAGAATCAAAACAAAATGCCTTTCTTTTTAATCAATTTCATCATTAAACTAAGTTAATAGCCCATTGACTAAGCATTCTAGTTCACCATAGTTAATAGTCCATTGACATAGCATTCTAGCTCACCTCATTCAGTTGACTAACTGAAAAGTGAATTAGTGGTAAGCCAGTGGAAAGCATATTCCAGAGGCTTCTGGGAGTATGCTTACAGCAGCAGCATCAGGGCAGCCATCTTTGCTGACCTCTGAGGTTCTCTTCAAACCTTGTGAGGTTTCTCCATTTCTAAGGTGAAAATGGAAAGAAATACATGACAACATGGTATAGCACTTTTCTTGTGTTAACTTTCTTCATTAACAACTGCCAGTGCCCCCTGCAACTTCCTTGAATGGTATTAAGTGCTCTTGAGTGTCTCATTACTTAAATGTTTTTTTATTGGTACATTATAATCATACATGATAGTGGGATGTACTGTTGTTACATATGCATACACACACACAGAACAACTAGGTCAACTCCACCTCCCAGTAGCTATTCCTTAAACCTTGACATTTGGTGTCCCAAGGCACCTCATAGCCTGTGCAGATGAAGAGTGTCACCCTGTGTGTAAATCAGTTCTGGATCTGCTCCTGAATATCTGGGATTTGAGTAACAGCATCCCCTTCTCTGCAGGGCAGAGATGTAACATCGACATTGATGAGTGTGCCTCCAATCCTTGTCGCAAGGGTGCAACGTGTATCAATGATGTGAATGGTTTCCGCTGCATGTGCCCCGAGGGGCCTCATCACCCCAGCTGCTACTCTCAGGTGAATGAGTGCCTGAGCAGTCCCTGCATCCATGGCAACTGTACTGGGGGCCTCAGTGGGTGAGTAGCTGCCATATGTTGTCAGGTTCCTGTCTGTTGACCTATGTCAAGCCATTTGTCTTTTGGCGTTGGTGATAGCCTGCAGAAGGCATTTGGATACTTGTCCTGCAATTTGGCTGAAGGTTTTAGTAGTCTGCCACAAACTCTTCTAATTTATCACTTTGTCTGTGGAAGCTAACCCCTCCTTCCATGGTGGAGGACCTGGGAAGAAAGTAAGGAGGATTGTCTCTTTTACATAAGTAGTGTAAGGACCTCATGGGAGGAGTCCAGGCCTATTTTATGAGTCTTTGGCAATTGTGTTTTAGAACTTATTACAAGATTGAGTTCTGAGGAATTTCTAGCATCATTTTTTAACGACTTTTTAAACACAGCCTACCTTTGTTCATCATAGTACTTGTGTGTACTCTGGAGTGGAACTGGTTCAGCCAACTTTAGACATGATTCTGATAAAACATTTGCAGTTGGCATGTCCCTCAGAGTTGTGTAATGTATTGGTAATTTTTAGAACTACAGAGTAACCTTAGGTTCTCTGAGAAGGTCTTCACTTTTATTGTGCTTGCCATAAGACATGGTTTTAGACATTGCCATTTTCCACACTTACAATAGGTGAAAGAATGAGAGTGTTTTAGGAAATAAAGTTTTTTTCAAAATGAGTTAACTTGGTATTCATGTCTCAAAGTATGACATCCTTAAAAACACCCCTTCCATCTACCCTTTCCCCACAAATCTCCTGTGAAACATAGCTGTCATTTCCTGATAGCACTCTCTAAGTGATACTGATATTCAAGTATGATACTGTATATTTCAGATGCCTTTATTTTATGCTCTTTCTTGATCAACACCCTGGGTGCTTTCTGAGGCAGAGTAAAGCAAGACTCAGATGTAAGACATCCAGGGAGTTATTCATTGTGTCTTAAAGTCTTTGCTACTGTCTTATTTCCAGGTATCTGTTTTGCAACACAAACTAGAGATCTTAAGGTTTGTTTTACCTTAGATTTATGTGTAATAAAATTAGTTTTGTAAATTATTCATTTTAGTGTTTCCTGCAGAGTGGCCCAATATATATATGACCCAGCCATTGTTTATATATGAAATTCACTATAATTAATTAATTTCACTAGCTTCTTGGTGAGCTAGGTGGGCCCAATGACTCTATGTAATAGAGTCACAGAAGAATATGAGATTACCTTACTAAAGAGCTCCTGCCCCCTCATTTCATCACCAACTCCTTTATTTTACTCTCTGACTGTACTGTACATTTTTGTGGGGTCTTCTTTTAGATATAAGTGCCTTTGTGATGCAGGATGGATTGGCACCAACTGTGAAGTGGACAAAAATGAATGTCTTTCTAACCCATGCCAAAATGGAGGAACTTGTGACAATCTGGTGAATGGATATAAGTGCACTTGCAAGAAGGGCTTTAAAGGTGAAAACAAAAGTACATCTTTTATGTCTGTTGTTGTCTGATTGCATACTACTTGGCTCAGTTCTTTCCATTTCTGTTTTCTCATTCATTCATTCATATGGCAAACATGGAGGAATTAGTATTTATGAGTCATTTGGGGGAGGAAAAATTACTTGTATAGATAAAATTTCTGCCTTCAGCCTGACAGAGAGGCAAGCTGTTAAAGCAGTTCATATTTAAGATGCTCAGTTAAGACTCACACAGCTTTGGACAAGTGCCTAATTGTAGGGTCATTGGTCTAGGTTTTCTTCTATGGTAATTCAAATAGCTCTATAGAAATATAATATTTTGCTTTTTATAGTTAGGGTAGCAACATCACAGACTCAGCTCTATGTTTGGAGCATTCTTATAAACTCTTTCATACATCAAGGTATTTTTACTTAGTTTTTTATTGCCTTTTGGAAAAATGCATAGCAGTGAAATTGTATAAGCCTTTTTTTTGAGTTCACGCTTGTATTTGCACTATTATAAGTTTTCACTTGGAAACTCATGAGAGATAAATATATGGGTAGATCATTTATATTTATGCTTACATTACCCATTGATTTCTTCACTCAAAAACCGTGATTGGCTATTATGTTATATCAGCATGTTTTAGAGACACTTTGATTACAGATTAAGCATCCCTAATCCAAAAATCCAAAATGCTCCAATATCTGAAACTTTCCTAGCACCAGCATGCTGCCATATTTGGAGAATTTCACACTCAACCTCATACGACAGGTCAAAGAAAAAATACAGGTTCATTAGAAATATTATATGGAATTATCTTCAGGCTATGTGTGTTTATGAAACAAATTTGACTTTTTTTTTTTTTTGGTTTAGACTTAGTCTCATTATCTGTATGCAAGTATCCAAAATCCAAAAAATCCAAATTCTAAAACAATTCTGGTGTTAAGCATTTTAGATGATACTTAAACTGTAACTGAAATTTTTCTGAGACCTATTTCAGTCATTTTCTGATATATTGCATTACATTTGCAAAGAAATTTGTAGATACAAAGGCGCCTTTCTTTATTTCATTGACACATGCTTATCAGTGAGTAAACTAAAACTCAAAATGTAAAATCCAACTTCTTATGCCCAGTTAGTATTAGAGCACAACTGAGCCCAGTTCTCTATACTCCTAGATAATCAATTTCTCCTTTACTGTGCTGTAGTTTTTCTATTTTTTGTGTGAAACTTTACCAGAAATGCAAAAGGTAGGCAATATTGGGTACTATCCTATATCTATTGATTCTTTTGTTGCTTTTATCCATTATTTAGTGGGATTAAATGTCATGCTTTCAATCAGGAGAAAAACAATTTTTTTGACTTCAGAAGTACCCCATTAATGGTAGAGACTATGCAAATGAAAGTGGGCATAAATCAGAGGCTTTGATTGTGTATTCAAAAACATTTTCTTTTTTGCTGACCAGAAACTTTGCATAAAAAGGCCTATGTTTAGATAACAAATGTTTCAACCCTTAGCATCTTGGTTTATTATTAAGAAACTACTTGTAATTGGAGGAGTAATAGGCTCTCAGGCCATTAGAATAAACTGTTATTACTTTCATCTTTTGACCGATTGATCATTCACTGACTGACTATATGCCAGGGACATATGACCAAAATGAATAAGCAGGTGTTCCAATGGTCTAATTTTTACCAATGAATGCCGTTTCAGAGGTGTTTAATTTTTACCACCAAGAGAACTGGTTGGTCATTGAGGTAAAGAGGAGGCTGACAGAAAGTCACTGTGTGTGTGTGGTTTTCACTTTTCTGCCTACAGGCCACAACTGCCAGGTGAATATTGATGAATGTGCCTCAAATCCTTGTCTGAACCAGGGGACCTGCTTTGATGATGTTAGTGGCTATACTTGCCACTGTGTGCTGCCCTACACAGGTGGGTGCTGTAGGTGCCTGCGGTGAGCATAGGGGATGTTTGACCTAGCCAGGTCAGTGAGCACTGTGAGCTTCAGTGAGGCAGGTCTGTGGGGCCGTGATGCTGCTCGAGGAATCACTGCCTGGGTGTCCTTCCTGCCCTCACTGACTACAACCTGAGTTCGGAAAATTTGATGGGGAAATACATTGGTCTTCTTAATGCTTTAGTGTTTGGACTTTATATCTGATTGGAATCTGGTATGTAGCTGATGGACTTAGTTCATCATTTGAATGGACCCTGTGTTTTGATGAACTATGTCAGACAGACACTGTTTTGTTGTTGTTGTTTGTCCTGGAGATTGAATTCCAGGGCATCACATATGCTAGGCAAGTGCTCTGCCACTGAGTTAACACCCACAGTTCTCCAACACTTTTTATATTTTGGGTTATTTAATCTTGTCTTCAATAATTCTACAATGTAGAATTTCCTGTCTCACGAAGATAAGTAGGAGATAGAGCATTTGCCCATAAATCTCTGAATCTGAAGGTTTTCCTGTTAACTGCCATTCTAATCCTAACGTTCAAATGTCAGTCTCACTCAGAAATATTGTCCCCCTGAATGCCTCTTTCACACAGAGAAGACAAAAGTGTGATTTCAGTTGACCTCAGCTGTTCTGTTTTGGTAGGTATATTTGGCACTTTGGACATTCTTCCTATTTTCTCCTATGTCCTCATTGCCATTGCATGGTGGTTGCACTTGTATGCCTTGCGCACCTCCTTGTCGTCTATTTTCTTCATCCATGAGGAACAGACACAACTATGGCTTTGCCTGTTGGAGCAGTGCACAGCATGCAGGCAGGAACACACCAGACCTGTCATTCCCTGGGTCTTGGGCAGTTAGCCGCAGCAGTTCATGGTGACTGAGCTGTGCAGTACAGCAGGATGGCCACAAGCATGACTGAAAGACTTGTTACCTTTGCTCCTTAGAAGAAGTTGTAATGTAGGGAAATTGCATTTAACCCTCCTGGCTCATAAACTCAAAGTTATAAAAGATTCTGTCTCTAGACAAAGAAAGTACAAATAACGTCATTCCAGAGGCTTGTTGATCTCATTTGTTGGTAGCAAAAAGACATCTCACATTGGATGCAGTGGCACACACCTGTAATCCCAGCAGCCTGGGAGGCTGAGCCAGGAGGATTGTGAGTTCAAACACAGGCTCAGCAACTGAGTGAGGCCCTAAGCAACTTAATGAGACCCTGTCTCTAAATAAAATACAAAAAGGGCTAGGATGTGGCTCAGTGGTTAAGTGCCCTGGGGTTCAGTCCTCGGTACTGTCCCCTTACTCCCTCCCTCCAAAAAAACCCCAAAATATCTCACAGCCACAAAGCCTGAGAATGGACAGCTGTGGATATACACAGGTGTCACTGTGCTCAGCCACTTTGGGGACTTAATTGCTGTGTATCTTAGGTGTACAGCTCATCTGCAGATGATCTGTTTTCTCATCATGCTTTTCAGATGCGCTGATATATTTGGCTTTTTGCTGGATATTGATTTTTCTTTAGCATCCTTGTTTAAAAAATTTACAATGGAGAGTGAGCCTGACTGAACACAACTATGCAGATAAGCCTTGTAGTTGTGTGTGGTTAAAGGCTGTAAGCTTTGTCAGGTTTGCCCAGCATAAGGGAACCAAGCACTCTTATAAGCCACTATTCTCCAACTTTTTAAAAGTGGGTTTGAGATATTTTGGTGAACATTTGGTGATTTTTTTTCCCCTGAGTACAAAACTTTAGAACGAAAATTTTAATATGAGAGTAAATTAAAACAAAACAAAACAAAAAAACCTCATCTAGTTGGGGATGTAGCTCAGTGGTAGAGTGCTTGCCTGGCATGTGTGAAGCCCTGGATCTGATCCCTGGCACTACAAAAAATAAAGTAAAAACCTCATCCCTTTTTAATAATAGCATTCCTATTTAATTATTTCTTGCTGTGAGTTTATATCTAACATACTAAAGTAGGAAGTGGTGGGCAGATACCAGTGTCATACATTATAAGGAGTCAGCTTGCCTGGCAATCAGAGCTGCTCCACTGTCTTCTGCTTGTACAGTAGTGCCCATTGCCTTCCAGTTAACCCATTCCCTGGAACAGTTCAGCTGAGGTTGGAGGAGCAGGAGGCCATGGTTCAGTCTGTGAGGCTGAGCTTCAGCGCAGCTGAATCTTAACTATGGAAATGCAAAAATTATCTCATCTGATGAATGCAGGTGTCCAAATCCATGGAACCACTTGTGATGATAATAGCAAAATTAGTAGCAGCCTAACAGTAATTGAATACTCTCTATGCACCAGGATGTGTGCTAATAAGGACTTTGTGTGCATTTTTAAAAATTTAATCCTCAAAAATTCTCTTTGAGTTATATATTGGTCTCATTCTCTTTATATGAGTAAGAGAAGAGAAGTAACCTGCCCAGGTTCACAAGTTAGCAATGTCAGACCAAGATTGAAAGGACTAAGAGTCTCTCAGATTCCAAAGGGTTCCCCTCCCCAACATGGTTGAACCCATAGACACTCTACCACTGAGCTACATGCCCAGCCTTCCTTATTTTTTATCTTTAGGTGGGTTCTTGCTAAATTGCCCAGACTGGCCTTGAACTTATGATCTTCTTGCCCTGGCCTCCCAAATTGCAGGGATTAAAGGGGTGCACCACCACACCCAGCCCATAGTCTCTTAACGACTACTTTAAACTTGAATTCTGAGGAATTCTGGGTGTACTATTTGGGAAAACGTTCGTTTACTTGGCAAGTTCTCTGTCACAAACTGTCATTTGCTTTTCAGGCAAAAATTGTCAAACTGTGTTGGCTCCCTGTTCCCCAAACCCTTGTGAGAATGCTGCTGTTTGTAAAGAGGCACCGAATTTTGAGAGTTACACCTGCTTGTGTGCTCCTGGCTGGCAAGGTAATAACATGAAGATGGAGGAGCCAGGCATATGTGTTCTGAACTTTAAAGTGGTCAGGTCATCATCAGATGACATAAAAGACTTTGATCTTCTGAGGCTGGTCCATCTTTGTCAAGAACTCTGTCCTGGAGCTGGTAACTGGAATGGTGCAAAAAGCCTTTCCATTGTCCTTTGGGGCCCTCTAGTGGCTGTAGACTCCACAGAGACTCTCAAACCCTGATGTTCCTTCTACAGAGAATTTTAGCATGATGGCATTAGCCTTTCCGGAATATAGATGTTTTCTTGGGTCTTCCCAAAGCCTGAGATCAACCAGGGTGTCCTTGGAGTAGCTTTACCCATCCCACCTAAGCTCAGGCTCCACAGATTACTACAGGAATCAGCTTCCAAAAACTATTGTTCATTGGTGTTTTTTCTAGGTCAGAGGTGTACGATTGACATTGATGAGTGTGTCTCCAAGCCCTGCATGAACCATGGTCTCTGTCATAACACCCAGGGCAGCTACATGTGTGAGTGTCCTCCAGGATTCAGTGGTATGGACTGTGAGGAGGACATCGATGACTGCCTTGCCAGTGAGTATGCCCCAAGGGAGAGGAAATCTCTCAGGGAACAGAGCAGATGAATTCAGAAGAGGCCACTGCCTCTTATACTGATGTCAGCCATACCAGTCCTTTATTGAGTATTTTTAACACTGTTAGTTTAATATCTTCTTTAGAAGCTAGTGTCTTTAGGAATCAAAACAAACGAATTTCTTTTAAGCACTTCTCTATGATGTTTTGAATATTGACAAGATGGAGACAATGCTATGGTGGTTTTCCTTATACATATTTCTGAGTGACATTTAACATGCAATAAACTGCAAATATTTAAGTGTATATTTTATCAAGTTTTGGCATAACAAAAGCCATCATTTATGATAATACACTGATTTGTCCTTCTTAATGTATACCTTTGTAATTTAATCCCTCTACTTTCTTATCCCATACAACCACAGATCTCCTTTGTCACTGTAGATTAATTGGCATATTTTACCATTTTAAATACATGCAATCATATAAACCTACTTTCTGTTTAGAGATTTTGACTTGTTTCAGTAAGCATAATATTTGAGACTTGTCCATAATGTTCATAGTAATAGGTTATTTTGCTTTGTTGATGAGTAGTGATATATAGGCTGTTTTTTATTAAGCTTTGGTAAAATGTATTTTTCAAAGAATTAGTCTAATTTATCTAGGTTGCTAAATATGGTAGTATAGAGTCAATCATAGTATAATCTTTATTGAACTTTTAGTGTTCATAAGATCTGTGAACAACAAGCTTGTAGATGGCAGTCCAAAGATAAATCAGACCTAGTCACAACCTTTATGAAGCTCATTTCTTACTGGGGAAGAAAGATATGTAGACAAATAATTTTAACATTTTGTGGCAAATAGTGGGAAAAATATGTCTAAGAGTCAATTGATGGAGAAATTAGAGAATTAAATAAAACTATTTGGATGCCTTTCTCACATTAACTATCAAATAAATATACAGTACTTTAACTTTCTTTCTTATATGAAGTGGGACCAGCAATGTTTACAAGGAGTTTGAAACAAGTCAGTAAATTATGGTGAGTTTCTTGTGGGAGTCTATGGAAATTATAGTATTGTGTACTGTGGTTAAGAAAGGTTAAAATATTTTTATAATTCCTCTAATTGTAATTAGACTCAGTCATTATTTAAAACAAATATGAGGTATTTAAATGTCCCTCTCACAAAGTAGGGGCATTTTACTCATGTTGAATTTTCATTTTAAATTTATGACTTGTCTTTGCAATTATACATTTTTTTAAATTTTTTTTGGGGGGGTTAGTTGTAGATGGAACAGAATGCCTTTATTTTATTTGTTTATCTTTATGTGGTGCTGAGGATCGAACCCAGTGCCTCACACATGCACTCTACCACTGAACTACAACCCCAGCCCTGCAATTATACTTTTAAGATCCTTAAGCATAGTAACTCTATCTTGATTTTCTTATTCTGGTTTGTATGCTATCTATATTGTGGAGGGCCATGGCATGATAATAGCTCAAATTTTGTTGATTAATTTCTTTCTCTTTTCTTCATTGTTTTTAGATATACATGACAGTAGGGTGTATTCTGACATATTATACATATGTGGAGTGCAACCAATTTCAATTAGGATCCCATTATTCTGATTGTACATGATGTGGAGTTACATTGATCATGTATTAATATATGAGCATAGGAAAGTTACGCCCAATTCATTCTACTGTCTTTCCTATTTCCATCCATCCTCCCTTCTTTTTATTCCCCTTTGTCTAATCTAGTGAAATTCTATTCTTCCCCTCCATACTCTCCTTTGTTATGGGTTAATATCCATGTACCAGAGAGAACATTTGACCTCTGGTTTTGGGGGGATTGGTTTATTTCACTTAGCATAATAAGTTGCATTCATTTACCCTCAAATGCCATAATTTCATTTTTCTTTATGGCTGAGAAATATTTCATTGTGTGTGTGTGTGTGTGTGTATATATATATATATATATATATAATATTTTATTTATCCATTCGTCTGTTGAAGAGCACCTAGGTTTGTTCTGTAGCTTGGTAGTGTGAAATGAGCTGCTGTAAACATCAATGTCACTATAGCATGCTGATTTTAAGTCTTTTGAGTATAAACTAAGGAGTTAAGGATAGCTGGGTAAAATAGTGGTTCCATTCCAAGTTTTCTGAGAAATTTCCATACTAGTTTCCATAGCGGTTGCACCAATTTTCAGTCCCAACAGCGATGTATGAGTGTACCTTTTCCCCGACATCTTCACCAACATTTATTGTTACTAATATTCTTGATAATTGCCATTCTGACTAGAGTGAGATGGAATCTCAGTGTGGTTTTAATTTGCATTTCTCTTAATTGCTAGAAATGTTGAACTTTTTTTCATATGTACTTTGACCATTTATGTTTCTTTTCTGTGAAGTGCCTATTCAGTTCCTTTGCCCATATACTGATTGGGTTATTTGAATTTTTGATGTTAAGATTTTTGAGTTCTTTATATATCCTAGAGATGAATGCTCTGAGGTGCAGGTGGTAAAGATTTTTTCCCATTCTGTAGGCTCTCTGTTCAAGTTTTTGATTGCTTCTTTTGCTGTGAAAAAGCTTTTTAGTTTGATATCATCCCTTTGATTGCTTCTTGATTTTACTTCTTGTGCTTTAGGATTCTTATTGAAGAAGTTTGCTCCTGAAATGACATGATGGAGAGTTGGGACTTCGAACTCAATCTAAAAAAAGAGGTGAAAGACCTCTAGAATGAAAACTGCAGAGCACTAAAGAAAGAAATTGAAGGAGACCTTAAGAAATGGAAAGATCTCCCATGTTCTTGGATAGGCAGAATTAATATTGTCAGAATGGCAATCTACCAGAAGTGCTATACAGATATAAGGCAATTTCCATTAAAATTCCAAGGACCTTCTTTATAGAACTGTCCATCATGTCGTTTAGGAACAGACTTGTTAATTAATTTCTGTGAGCATCAAGTATTCTAAGATTAAGCTGTGTGATTTTTAAATTTGTTTTTAAAACATTAGATTTAGGGGCTGAGGTTGTAACTCAGTGGCAGAGCACTTGCCTTCCACATGTAAGTCACTGGGTTTGATCCTCAGCACCACAAAAAAATAAATAAACAAAATAAAGATACTGTGTCTATGTACAACTAAAAATTTAAAAAAAAACATGAAATTTATTTGGAAAAATAAGAGGCCCAGAATAGCCAAAACAATCCTTAGCAAGAAAAGTAATGCAGAAGACTTTAAATACAAGACTTTAAATTTTACTACAGAACTATAGTAATAAAAATGACATGGTATTTGCATAAAAATAGACTTGAAGATCATTGGAACAGAATAGAAGACACAGACAGACACATAAATATATAGTTATCTCATACTAGAGAAAGATGTCATAAACATACATTGGAGAAAAATATAGCCTCTTTAACAAATAGTGCTGGGAAAACTGGAAATCCTTATATAGTAGATTGAAATTGAACCCCTATCTCTTACCCTGCACAAAACTCAACTCAAAATGGATCAAGGACCTAGGCATTAGACCAGAGACCCTGCACCTATAAGAAGAAAAAGTAGGCCTAACTCTCCATCATGTCGCTCAGGAATAGACTTGTTATTTAATTTCTGTAAGCATAAACTATTCTAACATCAAACTATGTGATTTTTAAAATTGTTTTTAAAAGTATATTTCCTAATGCTACCTAAATCTAAAACACATAGTAATAAAGAGATAAATGAAAATAGTGAGAAAGAGAAGAACAGAGGGATGATTAATTTATTTAATATTTCTGTAACAAATATATGATATATGTTTATATATGTAGATATACCCATATATATGAAGATTTTATGTATAATTCTTTGTTCATCTGTTCAGTCTCTACATATACCTTTGAAAATATTGATAAATATTTCTGATGAGCTGTGTGTTGGATCACATATTTAGTTTGTCAGTGTATGAAAGACCAGTGCAAGTTTTATGACTATACTAATATTACAAATTTGTTAGGGGTGATTAGATGACCGTGTATCCCAATTACCATAAAATTTAAAAATCTCAGACAAATGTTACTGAATTCATTTTCATAAATGGGGAAATCAGGGCAGAATAGATGGATAGAGGTCAAAGACAGAAGTCAGAATTGTGCTGTCCTTAGCATGAGATCATTCACCTTCACCAGTCTTAAGGTGAACTTGGTGCTGCTGTTCCAAATCCTAACTCTTTTATAATGGTTTAGATCCTTGCCAGAATGGAGGTTCCTGTGTGGATGGAGTGAACACTTTCTCCTGCCTCTGCCTTCCTGGATTTACTGGGGATAAGTGCCAGACAGACATGAATGAGTGTCTGAGTGAACCCTGTAAGAATGGAGGGACCTGCTCTGACTATGTCAACAGTTACACCTGCAAGTGCCAGGCAGGATTCGATGGAGTCCACTGTGAGAACAACATTGATGAATGCACTGAGAGGTGAGTGGCTGTGCATTGGGCATCAGCATCTTATGTGGAAAGGAAAGAAAGCAGAGGAACTTAAGAGTGTAGTGCTAGGATAGTGGGGTAGGGATGGGACCTCCCCTTGGCTCCTATTCTAGTCATCTCTTATTGCCTATTCCCAATTCCTGAAAGAAGGTTGAAGGTAGATAAACTTAGTGGGATAGATAGGCCAGCATTTATTTCTTACTTAGGGAATAATAGTAGGAACTATAATTCCATTCTCTCTTCGTTCTTATTCATTTCAACGGCAGTTGATCTAAAAATTCCTATTCCTTGGCAGATTTGTTACCACTGTTTAAGGACTTTCTGGGAAGTCTGTTCCATTTATTTTTATTATATTATCAACATGTTTGTTCTGTTTCCCTTTCATAAAGAAGTCTAAACTGAAAAACTATTTATCTGGCATTTTTTATATGAAGTAAATTGAAGCCAGGCATGGTGCTGCACACCTGTAATCCCAGCAGCTCAGAAGCTGAGGCAGGAGGATCGTGAGTTCAAAGCCAGCCTCAGCAAAAGCGAGGTGCTAAGCAACTCAGTGAGACCCTGTCTCTAAATAAAGTACAAAACAGGGCTGGGGATGTGGCTCAGTGGTTGAGTGCCCCTGAATTCAATCCCTAGAACCCCCCCAAAAAATAAAGTAAATTGACTTAGTTGATTAAAAATAATAATAATATATGGAGAGTCTCAGAATTGTGGAAAACCTCACATTCTCCAGGAATCTAGAGTAAGCACAGCCTTTTAAATGCTCCTAAGCCTTTGGGTATAGAAAGGAAGTTGGCACTCAGGGCTTCTGACATCCAGTTTGAAAGAAAGTAAAATTTACTGGATATAGGAGTTTGAGATGCTCAGGGGTATTTGCAATTTAGATTTTTAAACCTTGTTTTTAAAAGAGCCGGTCAGAGGAACCAATACATAGCTAATGTTGCCTCCCTGCCCATTTGCTCCTCAGTTCTTGCTTCAATGGTGGCACATGTGTTGATGGAATTAACTCCTTCTCCTGCTTGTGCCCTGTGGGCTTCACTGGTCCCTTCTGCCTCCATGAGATCAATGAATGCAACTCTCATCCATGCCTGAATGAGGGAACGTGTATTGATGGTCTGGGTACCTACCGCTGCACCTGCCCCTTGGGCTACACTGGAAAAAACTGTCAGGTAATTAGTTTCCTGTCCACTCACTCAGTTCTCCCAGAGTAGCTGAGTATTATACCTGTTACCTTTCTAGGCAAAATAAGCCCCTTTTAAAAGAGGAAATCACAGTTCTAGGGGTCTCCCTGAGATGAATCTGGTAACTTATTAATAGGTTTCAAAATGGTGATGCAGGCAGCACTATATGAATCAGCAAACTAAGATTGTCTTAAGAGACTGACCAAGAACTGCAGAAAAATACACAAGGGAAGCAAGCACATAGATACATTTTACAATGGAAGTACAAGAGGAGAAGGAATATCAAAATGCCATCTTTAAAGTTCAGGTACAACATCTAAGAGTATAGTAGCAATTATCATGTCTTCCAATGTAGAATTCATAAAACCAAACTATTTATGTACCTTTAAAATTCAAATATATAATTATACATTTTCATAGAATCTTAAAATGGCAAAGTCCCCATAAGTGATTACTCTAAACTTTCAATTCATGGAAGAGAAACTGAGCCACCAAGAGGCATTGTGGTGGCACATGCCTGTAATCCCAGCCACTCAGGAGGTTGAGGCATGAGGATCACAAGTTCAAAGCCAATCTCAGCTGAAGTGAGGTGCTAAACAACTCAGTGAAACCCTGTCTCTAAATAAAATACAAAATAGGGCTGCAGATGTGGCTCAGTGGTTGCTTGCCCCTGAGTTCAATCCCTGGTACAAAAAAAAAAAAAAAGATATGTACCAAATAGTACCTCTTCAACAATCAAAGAACAACAGACTTCAAAGAACTTTGGAATAAATGGCAAAATGTAACCTGATTTACAGGTGCATTTCAGTAAGGCTTTGGTTATATTGGATGTGCAAACAACTACCTTCATGTTGAGCAGGTTGGTGCTGATTGTGTGGATCCAGCAAACATTCTTCAAGGGGCTCATGCTCACTCTCGTAGGGTGGATGGCAATGCTGGAGATGCAGTCTTCCCTCCCTCCAGTGGCCTTTTCTTTCAGCCATGGTATTGGCACCAAAATAGACATGTATACCAATAGTTGAGAATAGAGGACACAGAGACATACCCACATAAATATGGTTATCTCATACTAGATAAAGGCTCTAAAAACATATTGGTGTGACTGGAGCTGTGGCTCAGTGGCAGAGCATTTGCCTAGCACATGTGAGGTCCTGGGTCTACATAAAAATAGACAAATAAAAATAAAGGCATGCTGTCCATCTACAACTACAAAAAAAAAATTTAAAAAGCATATCGGAGAAAAGATAGCCTATTCAACAAACAGTGCTGGCAAAACTGAAATCCATATGAAGCAAAATGAAATTAAACCTCTATCTCTTACCCTGCACAAAAATCAACTCAAATGGATCAAAGACTTAGGCACTAGAACAAAAACAACAACAAAAAAAACCCCAAGTAACCCAATCAATAAATTGCCTAAGGAACTGATTGGACACTTCACAGAAGAAGAAATACAGTTGATCAACATACATATGAAAAAATGTTCATCATCTCTAGCAATTAGAGATGTTCAAAACAAAACCAAGATTTCATCTCACTCCAGTCAAAATGGCAGTTAATAAGCAACAATAAGTATTAATGAGGATGTAGAGAAAAGTATACACTCATACATTACTGATGGGATTGCAAATTGGTGCAACCACTATAGAAAGCTGTATGGAAATTCCTTAGAAAACTTGGAATGGAACCACCATTTGACCCAGCTATCCCACTCCTTGGTTTAGACTCAAAGGCTTAAAATCAGCTTACTACAGGGACACAGCCACATTAATGTTTATAGCAGCTCAATTCACAGTAGCTAAACTATGGGACCAATTTAAGTGCCCTTCAACAGATGAATGGATAAAGAAAATGTGGTTTATATACATGGAATATTACTTAGCCTTAAAGAAGATTCAAATTATGGCATTTACAAGTTAGTGGATGGAGTTGGAAAATATCACGCTAAGTGAAATAAGCCAAACACAAAAAACCAAAGGCTGAATGTTTTCTCTAATAAGTGGATGCTGATCCATAATGGGGGGGGGGGGAACAGGTACAGAAGAATGAAGGAACTTTGGATTGGGCAGAGGGGACGGAGGATAGGAGTGCAGTATAGGTATGGGAAGGATGGTGGAATCAGGTGGACATTATTACCCTATATACATGTATGACTCCACTACCAGTATGACTCTGCACCATGTACAGCCAGAGGAATGAAAAGTTGTGTTCCATTTGTTAAAATGTGTCAAAATGCATTCTATTGTCATGTATAACTAATTAGAACAAATAAAATAACTTCTTTGGCAGTTTTAGGTTTATTAATGGACTTTATATCTTTTTACCCATCTTCACTGCAGGCAGGGTTTGGTCAGGATCCACATGGGTTTCATATAGGATTAGCATAAGGAAAATGGAACTTTTTGCACAGCTTTAACTCTCTTTCTAGCCCTACAGGGTGTCTGTATATGTACACATAATCCTGTCTAGATTATGGAGAATAACTTAACCTATTGGATCTTCTGAAATTCTTAAACTTCTGTGGAAAGAACTTATTAAATAGCAGAGCTAAGAGAAACCAAGACTATTTTAAAATTGTGAGCTGTATCTGGAACACTTGATCTTGTTTAGAGCTTGGGTGAGGTCTCTCTCTCTTTCTCTTTTTTTTTTTAAGTATGCTTTCCTTTGATTTCTTGTAATACAATATAACTTATTTTCTTCATTTCTGGTATTTGGATTTTGATAGATATGTTTTTTTGTCTCTGCTTCAGACCCTGGTGAACCTCTGCAGTCATTCTCCATGCAAAAACAAAGGTACTTGTGTTCAGGAAAAGGCAGAGTCCCGGTGCCTGTGTCCATCTGGGTGGACTGGTGCTTACTGTGATGTGCCCAATGTCTCCTGTAAATTGGCAGCCGCCCACAAAGGTGAGCTCTGTCCCTGGGGCTCAAGGTTTTCCCTGAAGTATTGACTGACCAAGGGCATTTTAGGGCTAATAATATTAATCTTGTGGGGTAAGAGGGAAAGGTGGATAATAGTGAATGGTTAAAGCTCTGGAGCAAGGGTAGAGGAATGGGGTTAAAGGTCCCAAAAAGAAATTTTAAGGCATATTCCACTTTTAGGGCTTGTTTATTTTTTAATGCAAATCTGGTATAGAGAGTTGTGAAGAAATAGACAAGAATAAAATTTGCTGATCAGCCAGCTTTGATTCACTTGCTCATGCGTCATTCTGAACAATGTGTGTCTTGTGCTCTTCTGTGATGATTTTTCGTCCCCTGGTTTCCCAGCTGTGCCTGTTGAGCGCTTGTGCCAGCACTCAGGTATCTGTATTGACGCTGGCAACACGCATCACTGCCAGTGCCCGCTGGGCTACACTGGGAGCTACTGTGAGAAGCAGCTTGATGAGTGTGCATCCAATCCCTGCCAGCATGGCGCCACCTGCATTGACTTCCTTGGAGGATACAGATGTGAGGTAAGGATGAATGAGCACAGATCAGAGAGCTCCCAGGAGGTGGTGTGGCTGTTATGAGCACTAGTGTGTCAAATTTAGCTGCTTGTGTCTTATGTATACTACTTATAGATTTTTACTAATCACCATCATAGTGTTTACCAATCCCACTGTTTTTTCAGCCTCTCTATGCAATACATTAGCATTGCCCTAGTAAGATATTTTTAAATAGATCCTAAAAAGGCTTGCTCCAGGATTTGGAACCAATAGCCACTTCCAAGGTGCATTATACACCGTCTCCTGCGCACAGTGGTCCCTGGAACTTCCCTGAATATCAGTTGAGATAGGAGAAGCCACTTTGAGGAATGGCTTTCCTGTTTGGCCCATGTCACCTTTGTCTGCTATCACTGATCAATCAACTGATAATTCTGTCTCTCTCTCAAAAAAAAAAGGTGCCGATCCTGTTTCCACAGTACCCATGCTAAATGTTACGTGTGTGTATTGGTTGTGTATCTTCAAGGAACATGTCACTGTCTTAATGTATGGGCTAATGGTTAGAGCAAAATGTTAACAAAGCACCAGAGACATGAATTCAATACCAATTCAGACTGCCAAACAACAGAAAAGGCTTTGCTTCTTCACTGTTACCTAGATTGTTTATTTCTTTACAGCCAGTCTTGGACTCATTAACTCAGAAGCCTACCAGTGCCAAACTCAAATGTTTACACATCCATTTATCTTCAACATAGCCCAGATAAGCAGAATTTTAACTGTTTAGGTGCTACCTAAAACATACTTGTAAAACTATACCCAACATTTCCTAGTCATAGATGAGATATACCCTAGTCTGTAAAGACCCAGCCACAGCTGCCCTTAGGAGCTCTCTGACCAGAGACTCCTGCTGTTGGGCTGCTGAGTGACGTTGCCTATACCACTAACCTCCCTTTCTGATCCCCCTCTCTCCAAGAGTTCATTTTTCTTCTTCCTTCACCCTTCTTCCTTTTTGAATGGTCTCATCCCACAAGGAACTTCCCCTACATACAAGCCTGTTGAACTGTTGCTCAAATAAAGGTACTTTTGGGTTGTATTCCTTTACCAATCCTGAATTCCTTCCAATTCCTACATCAGCCACAGCCAGCCAGCGCCACCTTCTTCTGCCCCTACTTCTGTCTCAGTCAGTTTCTTCCATGTACATGCAGTTTTCTGAACCTGGAGGTCAGTACATGCCATACCTTTACTACCACCCACACATGCTATTTGACTGAGTCATAGGGTCCTTGGACATATGAAGGAATGCATATATAAAAAATGGGAAAAAACAGTACACAGGAGGAACAAAAGTTTTGCACAGGAATCATATTGAAAACAACCCTCATGATATTCAATCCTTATCTTTAAAGTGGCTTGTTTGGCTGGAAGAGAAATAGGTAAACACCAGTAAGATGGAGTTTGACCCCACACAGATGGTGAGCAGAGAATGTGGTGGTTCCAGAGAAACATAAAAGAGCTGAATGAGAAGCGGGACAGGATCACAGTAACATTTCAGATCTCCCTTGCCTTCATGGTTTGTCTCCAGTAATGATGCAAAATCTTTTCTCCTTTGCTTCCTCCTGGCAGTGTATTCCAGGATATCAGGGTGTCAACTGTGAGTATGAAGTGGATGAGTGCCAGAATCAGCCATGCCAGAATGGAGGCACCTGCATCGACCTTGTGAACCATTTCAAGTGCTCATGTCCACCAGGCACTCGGGGTATGAAATCAGCCTTACTCATCTTCCATACATGGCCTTTCTCTAAGTTACAGATCCATTCTTAGTGAAAAAAAAAAAAAAAAAACTGACAGTAAAACTAGCTTCACTACAATCATTTAGTTCTGCACCCTAGTAATTCAAATATTTTTTTTCTTTCATTTCTTGCAAGCTCTGCTTCATAGTCTCAATTTGGTCTGGTTGTTTCTAATCTTATATTTCATAAAACACAGAACATAGAACTGATATAACATTGTAACAAAATTATCCTGGTCAGCAAGATTCCTTGATGCTTCAAGCAAAAGCAGCTACTAATCCCTTGAGTAAATAATACAACATTTATCTGATTTGTTTTTTAGCTAGCTAGTTTTTGGTTCCATAGGGTGAGGGAATGAATGAAATGAAAATAGTTGCCTACTTTTATAATTCCAGAGGAGGAAGCTGTTGGTCTAAGGCTGTGCCTACATAAATGCAGAGCATCATTCTGCTGTGGGCATTACCAACAACCTCCAAGCAATTTCCTAGAAAGTAGGAATAAGTATTATTTATTAGAAGAGATCACTTATGATTGTGTGTATTCTGAGTAAACTGTGAAAAAATGTGAAAGGCCATCAACAATAATGGGAAATTCATTCTCTTCTGTGTCAAAGAGATTGGAAGTTCAGAGAAGTATTTATATTGTCTTACATCTTTGTGTCAATGAATTTTGATAATTTGGTGTCCTAGAGTTCAGAATTTGGCTCAGTTAAGATAGAAGACTACTAGTAGGGTAGTTATTGAAGAATGAGGTTAAAGGGGAAGAGAAAATTTAGGAGAAACAGCCTCTAAATATTGAAAATTTGTTGTGTGAAAAGGAGAATTGTTCTTTATTCTAGAATTCCATAATTCAAAGAGAAATAGAAGTCAGCTCCAGGTCATTATTAATTTATTGCTTTGAATTGTATTGGTTTAGGACAAGCTACAGCTGTGGTGGTAGCTTATTAAACCTCAAATCTAAAAGCTAAACACAAGAGTTATTTTTTTTCTGGTTATTCAAATAAACTCTGCTAGGTGTTGTGCTACTTTTCTATATATTTTAGATATGTGGTTTAAAACATTTGGCCTTCAAGACTTCCACAGGAAAGACAAACTTGCAGAGTCATGTAGCAGCCTTCACTACCTTAGTCTGGAAGTGACATACATCACTATCTTTCACAATGTATTATCAAAAATTATTTAATAATCTCCAACTGTCTTCAGTGGAGGCTGGGAAATCTGGGAGAATACATGTATAGTCATCTCTTACTATACCAAGATCTCTTTATTTATTGTCTAAGCCCAAAATAGTTCAAATCACAAGGCAACAAAATTTGTATCTTTTCTAACCCTTTCTTGGTTATTATAATTGACTGCCTTCCTCCCACCCCATCCCAGCTTTTTGAATATTTTATCCCACTGCTTTTTCACTTCCATGATTTTAATGAGAAATTGGCTTTTATTTGTATTGAAACTCCCTTGTATGGGATATGTCTCTTCTCTCTTCATGTTTTCAAGCTTCTCTTTATCTTTTGGCAATCGAACTATAATAGTGCTGGTGTGGATCTCTTTGAATTTATCCTAGTTAATATTTATTGAATTATTATACCACATTTGCTTGTTTAGATGTGTGGAACAGTATTTATCCTGACTTATCTGGCAATTGGCGAATATATCAGGAGACTCAAGTTCCATTTTTAACATCATTATGAGAGTTACCACAATGCCTGTTTTTAATTTGCTATCCTTTTCAACTTTGGATCCTGGCCTGGGTACACTTTTAGTTATTTAGTTTGAAAACTAACTAAGAGTTCTGCCCATCCCTACTATTTTGCTTTAGGCCAAAGTTGCATTTATTTTCATTTGATAGATCTGTTCATTACTAGTAGTTCCATTCTGATGGGAGACTGGGTATTTATGTTAATATATTCTCAGTTGCTAAATATCTAATATTTTGTGAGACTCGAAAGCACATATCAGTTTTGTTTTTACTTTATTTTCATTTAACTTCTAAATAGGTGATAAAGTAAAATATGCACATGGACATAGACAAAAATGTATACATGAACACATAGAAAAAGCATGCGTAAAACACATCTTCCCATCCATGTCCCTCTCCCTCCATGCTGAGTTCTCTCTGTGTCACAAACAAGTAATTATCACTTTTAGTTTCTTGTGTGTCTTCCTAGGGTGTCTTTTTTTTTTTT